AATTCCCATTGCTGAACTACCTTCTTTATAGAATGTGTTAAAAGAACAAATCAAAGGTTTTGTGAGAATGGTAAGACCCCTTTCTCTAGATAACAAGGTAAATGAATTTGCAAGAAAAGTAAATGGAAATACGTTTTTATGTAAGAGGTATTCTTTAAGTAAATCTTTTCTTTATTAGACATATGCACCAAAACTCATACTTCTGGATATAACAGATATAAACTGCATTCGAGATGTAGCTAAAGAAATCGTGAATTGCTATGGCTGTGTGGATATACTGATCAACAATGCAAGTATGAAGGTCAAAGGAGCAGTGCAGAGCATTTCCTTGGAACTCGATAAAAAGATAATGGATGCCAACTATTTTGGACCTATAACATTAACTAAAGGTATTTTAGTTTTTCTTCCTGTTCTGCTGTTGTCACTTTAAGCTTAAAATCCAATTGTTTTCAAAGCCATTGCAAGTACAGAGACAGGATGACAATAGAATCTGATAATACTGGACCCAAACCTGCATGTGCAAATCAAGTGCTACTCAGTTTCCAGTTACTGGATTTTGTGATATTTTTGATTGTGGTATTGCGACAAACTTCACAAAGCTGTGCTGTCTACACTTCAGATGTTACTTTTTTTTCACCAGTTACATTGACTGCTTTTACTTACATGGTTCTTTCTTTTATTAATTTTCTTTTTTTTTTTTTCAGCCATTCTTCCCAACATGATCTCAAGAAGAACTGGCCAAATAGTTCTAATTAATAGTATCCAAGGAAAAATAGGAATACCGTTTCGTGCAGCTTGTAAGTTATATGTAGCAAAAACGTACAGCCTAATGCAGAAATTATCAGTATTCCAGGGCACTGATAATTAAAAGTTATTAAAAGTGCTAACTTGTATCTGAATTCAGTAAACTATTAATACAATATTTGGCTGAAAATAATCAAAGAAGTGGAACTCAAGATGAAATAGTAAAATGCTATCTTTAAAGTATAATGATTGCCTAAGGTACTTGAGGACAAGAGAATAACAGATGTGACAGCAGGGATTTTTTTATGATCTTAGGGGACATTCAAGATATAGCAAACTTGAAAGTCTAACAGCTGTACTGGGCATATTAGTAGAAACTATAACGAAGTAGTGTATAAATGTAACACACCGGCAGATAGTAGCTACTGCTTTGTAAAGGGAGTCTCATGCACTTAATGGATTTATATGTGGGAATTCCAAAGGAGATGTAGTAATTGTATTGCGCTTGGCTTTTGAGAAGATTGTAGAGGTCTTTCATCCGAATCTCCTAATAGAACTAAACTGTCCTGAATTATAATGAAAGGTCTTTGCATTAATAAAATGCAAAGTTAGGGGACAGAAATAGAAGATAGATGTAAATAGGCATTTTTAACTGTGACAGGAGGTCAAAGTGGATGATAGGCTTAGAATTGAGGTCTGCAAGACATCAGGATTGTGACTTATAGTTCCATGAAAGCAATATACAGTGACATAAACTGTGAGGAAAGCAGCAGAGAAAAAACAAATCCTTTCTTTATGCCTTTGTATCAATCTATGAAATGCCCACATCTTTAACATTGTGTGCAACTGTGGGCCCCCATCTCAAAATAAGTATAAGAGCAATGAAAAAGTCTTAGAGAAGAAACAACACATTGGTGGGACATCTGAAATGGTTTTCATCAAGGAAAAAGCCAATTGTGTCAAGACACACATTGTCAATACGACACATTGTATGTGTATGAGATCATCAGTGGGAGAAGAGGTCATCAAGATGTCATGTCTCTACCTGCATCTGTGTGGCATAAAATGAAGCTGACAGAACAAGGAATATGACAGCAAATGAATGGAGAAGCTTCTTTCCATTTCTGGAGCCCACATGCCATTTTTTAGATTCTATTATGCACAGGTTGATTTTCACTGCAAACCAAGTGAAATATGGAGTGGACGAGTGCTTTGCAGCTCTGCTGCACTCAACACATAGTTCTGTTTTTTGGTCAAGGTTTACATACTATCACCCTTCTTTAATACCATTCTCAATTGAAAGGCACAAAGAGTAGTTAAAAAAACTCCTAACATTCAGTTACTTCAACATTAATATTAAAAGTGTCTTAGATTGCTGCTGCAGGGCTCATGGTTTTATATAGCTATATCCATGCATTCCTTTATCCAAACACACATATGTGGTGTTTTTTTCTTTTTTTTTTTTTAGATGCGGCTTCCAAGCATGCTGCTGTGGGCTTTTTTGATTGTCTTAGAGCTGAAATGGAAGAATTTGATATATCTGTCAGCACTGTGAATCCAACCTTCATCTGTTCATACCATCGCCAACCAGCACCTGGCAACTGGGAGGCATCTATTTGGAAATGTAAGTGCTGATGCATTAAGAGAGACAGTAGTTGAAGTCCATACAGCGGTATGGGGGCTTTTCGCAGGGGGAAGGAACATAAGAAGAAGAATGAAAATGACAGAAAGGATCATAGAATCAACGAGGTTTGAAAAGACCTTTAAGATCATGAAGGCCAAACTTTATCTTAGCAATGCCAAGGCTGCCATTAACCCATGCCACTAAGAGCCTCATCTACACAGTTTTCGAACACTTTCAGGGATGGTAACTCCACCACTGCCCTGGGAAACCTGAACAGGCTAGGGAGTAAAAGAAAAGAGAGACTGGAGAGGTGAGATGAGCCGAGTGAAAAGAGAAGGACATGTAAAAAGACAACTTTGTGTGAGAAAATAAATACACCAGGACATGAGGAGTGGAGATAGAGCAGGGTTTGAAAGGTCCCACTCCAATCAAGTGGTTCTTTCTTTCAGGCACTGTGAGGATTTTACTTTAAAACTGTAAAAAGATCTTAGGGATATGCTGACGAGGGAAAGGGAATGGGTAAGGGATGAAAAGTGCATAGGAATGTAACCAATGCGACTGTTTCGCTAACTGCGTTATCTTTTTACCACCATTCCTTCAGATGTGTCTGACTGTCTGCTGTAGCTCTCACTCCTCTTTCTTTGATTTACAGTCTTTTTCAGAAAGGTGGCATATGGTGTGCACCCGGTGGAGGTGGCAGAGGAAGTCTTGCGCACTGTGAGCAGTAAGAAGCAGGAGGTACTTATGGCCAACCCCATCCCCAGAGCAGCAGTTTACATTCGCACTTTCTTTCCTGAGCTATTTTTTGCCATTGTTGCCTCGGGGATTAGGGAAAAGCAGAAGACAGAAGAGGAAAACTGATGTTATTCATGGTTTTTCCCTGCTTTTGACCTAAAAGAAGTTTATGTTTCTGTCAGTGTTTATAGCAAAGAGTTTATGTCAATGATTTCTGCTTCTCACTATAGGTAGAATAAAGCAGGAGGCTTTATTAAACACGAACCAGTCAATGTCTCACTTAGTGTTTCGCTACCACTGACATACATTCATCTGTGAGACTTCTGTTATTCTGGATTCAGTGAATATGTCAAGGTACCATGTTTGCATTACAACAGTATAGGAAAACTCTACTAGGAACTCTACAGCTATTACAAGAGAGTGATTCCCAATCTAAATTGGCAGATCAAATTCTGGGGACCTGCAGCCACTTATCAGAGTAGTCTGCAAGTGCTAGGACTGATGGGAACTTACAGAAACAAAGGGATAGGGAAGAAGGGAGATGTGGGACACTGAGGAGTAAAAATCAGTGGAAAATCAGGTCAAGACTGGATCAGAGTGCTCCTCAGATGTACTCTTTGGAAATACGTGCAGAATATGGAAATAGTGAGCCCAAATAAGGGTTTACCTAGTTCAATATCTCATCTGCAATAGGACCCTGGAGTGCATGCTTCTTAAAAAGTGAATTATTAGAATGGGTCAATAATATAGAGACTTTCCCTGTATTACACTCTGCCAGGTTCTGATCATCTGCTACATAGCTTGAAACAAAATCAGTCTCTACATCTTGTTAAACAACCAATTTTTCATATTTTTTTTTCAAATTCCTATTCAAAGCATTCTATCCCTGAGGGATTAATCGTATATATATATATAAAAACTATATCTATATAAAGACTTCATTATGTTTACTTTAAACTGGTTGTCAGATAATATTCTCTGGTATCTCCTACTTCTTTTACTGTGAGAGACAAAAATAATGGCACTCTGTTCACTGACTCCCAGTCATCCATGCCCATCATACTTTCCATGCAGTTACCTGTTTCCAAGTGGGAGAGCCTTGATATCTATTTAGTCTCTCTTGTTGAGAAGTCTGAATTATTCTTCCTGTTCTTCTTTATATTTTTCCTGGTATATCTTTTTTAATTATTATTAATTTTTATATGTACAGGCCACGGCTGAACGCAGCATTTAAGAAAGATAGTCTGGATTCACAGACAGGCATATAGATGCTTCCTGGAGTTTTCACTTCTTCCCTTCTTTTGTATGTCTCATGCAAATCCTGGTCCTGAGGAATTTTTCTCACTGCTACTGAGCCTTGAGTTCCCTTGTCCACTCTGCTACATGTGGCACTTAATCATCACATCCAACATAAGCATGTCCATTACTCATGTGAACTGTGTGAACTTCACATATTCCCACAGCTGTCTTACTCATAAGCATTCTAGGCTTTTCCTCCCTATCCCATTTTCCAAGTTCATGCTGAGGACTTACCCGTTTTTGTCTCATCCTATGAAGTGAACCAGAATATCTATAAGGATAATATAAGGGTGTCTTGATTGTCACTTTTAATCTAAGAGCATAAATTCTGCTTCTGAAACCTTACCCTGGCCTTTCTTGTCCCATCAGTTCTCACAGACATCACAATCACCTACTTTTTTGCAGGCACTATCAAAATGCCTTGTTTGCAGAATACCTACAAAAGAAATACCTACCCAAGAAGCATGCAGCCAAACTGCATTTGTTGCTACAGTAAGCCCAATTGCTCATACAGATTTCAACAGCAGCTGCAATTTTCTACCTCTTTCTATCAGTAAGACTCACCAAACATGATAGGAATTCCCAGTGCAAGAAAATACATGGTTATCATCTTGCAGGGACATTAACCTTTTCATGTATCTCTAATTCAATTGCTCTGGCTTCAAGAAACATGCATGAATCTACCTCAGGAGAGTAGTTACAACTACTGAGAAGTAGTGGGTTCCTGCAGTACCTGCCAAAGCTCCATCTATTTGCTGTTGTAGCACTGGGCTTTTATGGTTTGAATGACTATACCTTAACTAAGAAGTCAAACATCCACTTTGTCCAAAATCTACTTGCTTGTCAACAGAACTCTGCTCCCTCGGAAAAAAAGCTTTTGCTGTGTTCTCATTTATACTTGTGTCTGAACCTCTGCAAGAGCCAAGCCCTTCACACCTCCACAGAAACAAAATATGGAACAACTGGGTAATTTAATCAGAAAAACATCAGAGAATCACAGGACATCACAACTAAACATGAATCAATGTTGCCTTGCTTTGTTCTAAAAGCAAATGGATTGTGTGTTGAAATAAACTGAATAATCCATCTGCTCCATTTTGCACCTTCCAGATATCAGAAATTCTTCAGTGATTTTGAATATTTCACTTTTAAAATGTGGAACAGTTGAAGAAACCACAATGAAAAGCAGTGACAGTAACAAAGGTTAAAGCACACCTATGATCTACCAAGAATTTTTTAAAGAAGATATGTATTTTAATATAGAAAGTAGAAGCAAGTTATATGTAAACAGATTTCAAATACCTAAAATGTACTTCCTAGAGGATAGAACTAAACTGTTCTCAATTTCTGCCGTAGAAAGACAATGTGCTAATGTTAATGCAGAGGAGATTTACAGGGAAAGAATTTTCTGCTAAGAATAGTTAAGCACGAAGGATAAATGCCACAGAAATTTTGGAATGCCTGTATTTGAAAGCTTTAAAGAAGAGATTAATGAAACATCTGTAAAAAAGCAATGCAGATTTAGTTTATCCTGCCTAGAGAAAAAGACGGATTAGGTGACCTTCTAAATGGGTCACACTTTTTTATAATTCTGTGGGTTTTTTCCTCATATTAAGAACAAGGCTTCTCCACTGGTATTTCTGAAGTAGTATTTTTTCCTCCAGGAAAATCTATTCTTTAATCATAAATTTTCTATTTCTTTTGTCCATCTCTCCCTCACTGTCTGAATACCTGGGTATAGGTGCTGCATATAAAAAATACTATGACAATAAGAATATTATGAGATTAGTTCGTTAAGAGATATTTTCGGTTAGCCTCACTCATCCATATTTTAAGCCATGTAAATTCCTTAATAATACTAACTTTCATAAATGAGGATGAAACCAGGCCTGCAGATTTAGTTGTAGAAGTCATAGGAGCAAGATACTCAACTACAGCCCTTTTAATTTTTCTGAACTTCTCACATGTCTGAAAGTCACATAGAATCATAGAATGGTTTAGATGGGGAGGCATCTGAAAGCTCATCCAGTTCCAGCTCCCCTGCCATGGGCAGGGACACCTTCCACTAGAGCAGGTTTGTACAAGCCCCATTCAACCTGGCCTTGAACACTGCCAGGGATGGGACATCCACAAGATGAGAAGCATCTTTGAATTGGTCTGAAGTATGTGTATGGTGGCACACAATTTTCTGTTAATGTGTGCTGCAGCTCCACTGTGTTAAATTTAAGGGTTCTTGTGGTGAAATCAGTTATATCTTGGTGTTGGCCAAGATAATTTACATTGCTGGCCACAAAGGCCCTTGAAGTAAGGAAGAATTTTAAAAATGCTAAGACTGGAAAGTCTGAGAACTGAGGATTCTCTTGTCTAATTTCAGACATCTGTCCTAAATACAGCCTATCCAGAGCTAACCTCCCAGTGCCCTTCTTAAGCAGTGAAAAGAAACAGGTGATTTATCTGATATACAGCTTAGGATAGCACGGATTGGGATGGGAGCTTTACAGTCTTTTCAATAAAGAATTAGGGTCTCCTCTAAAATTCTAACAAGCTCACATACTTTATATTAGCACTAGAGACTGATTACAAATCAGAGCATTGGAGGGCGTATATCACTGTCTTTTTGGAACTGAGACACCTGAATCTGCTTTCCCAGTACTAGGACCTCCTTGAAACACCCATGGAAATAGGATTTATTTATTAAAAAAACAAACACTACACAAGTATACATTTTTATTAATACTGTTTCATTTTGATCTGACATTATGATTTATAGCATGCCTTGAGGTACTGTTCAAATTTACAGAACTGAAATAGTGGCCAGGTGACGTAAGCCTTTGATTGGATGTGCAGGGTCCTCCGTACTGTTGTGAAATGAGTTCACATACACATTGCAAGCTTTCTCTGGAGATGTACGATCAGGAAACTTGTATTTAATCTTTAAACTCCTTCCCAGCATTTTTCTTTTGTGCTTGAATTCCAAAATAGTTTTTGTGTATTTGTTAATAGTGGTGACAGCTGCAGCCATACAGCAAGCGAAGGAAGCCCATGCGAGGCTATAAACAAAAAGGTTTATCAGAAATTAGCAGAATGTTTTCATATCCACGTCCTTCCATTTTATTTGTGAAAATAGTGCATACATGTGGTTGTATCGGGGTGTATTAGGAAAAGAGGAGCATGGTGCGGGAGGAAGAAAGACCATTTACATACCTAACTTACATTTTGACATCTACATATTCACATTTAACATTCCTGTTTAATACAATCCTACCTCAAATTTCTCTGTTTACTCAGAGTTTAATATCAGAAAAAGGAACTATTAAAAAAAGGGGATGCATAAAAAATTAAAAGGTGTAGTTATTGAGACTATGAATCTCACAGGTGATATACCACTGAGATGCATGCGTGCCAGTTATCCAAAAGGGTTAAAAAGAAAAGAGAACGCACAATGAAGTAGCTCACTAAAGCAGGCTTAAAGCACTGAATTGTGTTCCTGAGAAAAAGTAAGTCATGACTAAGCAGAAAGAAAGGGCCATCAACTCTGAAATGTTAAAGGTAAAACCATAAGAAAACAGAATAAAGAACCAAAGTTGACTTGAACTACTGAGTGGACAATGCATGCTGGAGCTGTAAAAGTAGCATGTAGAAATATGGCCACAGTGGAATGTATTGGAATTTGCTCATTGGAGGCTTTCTTGACATGGTAAGGTCATGACTACCTAATGAATTGTTTGCTTTGGTGGAGAGATCAGTTTAAGACACTCCTGCTTATCTCTCTTCTCCCTCAGAGCTGTTTGTTTCCACATCCCTGCTGTAGTCCAACAAACACATTTAGGTTTTAAAATATATATTTTTAGCCAGGATTGTTTTCCAAGGTGATCAGGCAATCGTATATTTTTCAAGAATTTGAAGGTGGCAGAGCATAGCATGTAGATGTGAAGGGCACATAGAAGTAGGAAGAAGAGGAGCAGTTTACGCAATCTTTGCTCCTAAAATCAGTCAGACTACACCCTGACTAACTCTTAAATTTGGGGAGCCACAAAAGAGTCTTATAACAAGCTGTAAAACTAGGGGCAAATCACGAGACGCAGACAGATTTCCCTCCTTACATGAATGGAGCAAGAATGGGACAGCATGCCTACCTACAGTGGTGTGTAACCTGGGGATTAAGCCAACCATGGTAGAGAAGAATTGAAAATTCAGCCCCAGCAATGAGATAAAAGTGGTAGGTCTGCAGTAGTCCTGACTCATGCCGTAGGCATTTTTGGCTAAATAATTAAAGTACAGTAGCATTAGTAGACAAACTATGAAGGTGCTTTTCCTAATACACCTGTTGAAGTCCTTTGAAGGACTCTGTCATAAGGGCAAGGAACTGATTTCAAGAAAGCTTCTATAAATGTGTCTCAGCAGAGACCGAAAGGAATTAATCTTTTATGAGCAGATTCTCTTGTAGATCAATACTGTTTTATAAGAGAAAAAAAACAAAGGTCAGAAATAAATGGTTTCCTTTGACAATACATGAAGCACATCAGTGTGGTTCTTCAAAGTTTTTTGCCTGAAATTTTGGTTTTCCATAAACAATTTGGAAAAAAAGGGGAGTTCCCCATCTGACTACAGAGAACTGAGGAAGGAAGTGAACAAAATCTTGTTACTGAGAGATTCATAAAATAAAGAGCACTTTGGCTGACTTGGAAATTCAGCTTCAAGAAGGAGAGCATTCAATCTGAATTCTGCCCACAGACAAATGACAAAGAGGGAAATCAAACAGGTCAACTCAACAAGGAAGCAAGCTAGAGCATTCAACTGCATAAGAGAAATACCAACAGAAGCTCAACTGGATTAAGGGTTTTACTGCATGGAATATCCCATATGAAGTGTGTTACACCATTTGTCACAATCTGGCCAATCTCCAGCTTGACCAGGCCCATCCTTCATCCATCTGAGAGCACTAGAGAAACATCTCCATTTCTATACACAGGTAACAATAGCTTCAAACTGCTGCTGTGTAGGAAACAGGCTCCTGGAAAGGCACAAATCAATGTACTGTGACCTTCAAATGAGATATGAGTTATTAGGAAGTTAAAAAGTAACAGTACAAAAGACAAAAGAAACACCTATTTCATTGCAAAAATCCCCAGCAAGTCTGCACCCTTAAGACTGCGTGCAGCTATAAGCTCTTGTTCAATAATAGTACAATAAAAGTATAAAGAGCAGTAAGAATGAGTGACAGTCTCAGCTGTCAGAGAAGTATGAAGGAGACAATCAGCCTGAGCTCTTTTCTACTGACCCAAAATATTGATCCTGATTGACTTTTCAACTAGTCTTATTCTTTTTCTTAGTCACAGTTGGATAAATAGCAGCAGTTTCCAGGACGTGAACATTCAAATGCTTGCTATTGATCAGATTTGATGAATTTTTGAAGAAGTACCTCTATAGCAAAAATCCTCTAAGCAGCCCTCTTCTAATAAATACACTAGATCTCCCCAGAAAATGTGCTGCAATTATTTACAGAGCCAAAATAATACAATTCTACCTAGGCTAGTTTAAAAAAAAAAAAGAGCCATCTTGTCTGAAATGGTCCAGGTGCAACAACCTGAAATATGTATCTGGTAAGGAAAATCTCAGCCTAAATGGTTAAAGCCAGAAGAGTTATAAACAGCTTATGTGAAGCAGTTGTGCTGGGAGATGAGGGTACTGGATCCAGTGTGTATGAAGAAACACCTCTGCTTTGTGCAGAGCAGTTGGAGGTCTCCATACTAAAGGTTAGCAAATTCAAAATCCAAAATCTTACTCTTCCTATGTAATAATCTTAAACAACCAAATTTGGAGAAAACTAGCTGCTTATTAACTGCCTCCCAAGGGGTGAAATAGGGTAGATCCATTCCTTATAAATTAGGCATACATTCCTTGGACATAAGGTGAAGTGACTGAAATGTAATAGAAGAACCAAATATAAACCAATAGGTACCAATAGGACCAGCCATAATCCCATGTGTGAGGTCTCCAGTCTTCAGGACCAAGATTTACAGTCATTTGAAATACAGTTGTGTACATCATGTGAGCAACCATGCCCAGAAGACCTGCAAAATATAATAAGAACATTAGAAAATGTAAATTGAGGACATTCTTCATCAGCTTTTTGCACTTGTCCCTTGAGCTCCTGAAGAATATTTTATGAAGTGTCTGAACTCTATAAATCACTCAAAAATACATAATTTAAGTGTATGAATGTGCCATGTATTTGCCAATACGATCACGAATACACTCCCCTGACAGTTACTTTGTACTCAGAGTAATCAGGGGGAGCAAGGGGATGTGCAGCCCGTAGATTTTAAATGGCAATAGGTTGATTTGCTCTCATCCACTGAAAACTTCTTAGTAATTCAACCCTGAGTGGAAATCAGCCATTACAAGCAAGTACTGCTCAGTTGCCTCGCACCTATACACTTCATAGTTTCTTATTGTTCAGTGGAGAGGGTTTTCACAGGCATGCAGTTATATTCCTTTTCCCAGTGCTTTAAATGCAGCCAGATTTATCAAAGTTTTGTATGTAAATGAAAAGGTGAACACTTAAAGGCCATTAAAAAGCATTGTAAGCACTGAAAAAAGATTATGAAAAGGGCTTATATTTAATAATTTATTTTTCAAAATTATGAGTAGGTTGCTGCCTAATTCTAAGTGTATCATCGTCTGTTTTCCCTTTGCTTTTATCTTCCAGTAGTGAACTTCCCCGTGAACATCTATTTTGTTTTGATTTCAGCTTCATTTACAAATCCATAAGTACCCTTGCAAAATCAATTATCCCACTGCCTGAAACACATTAGCTTCTCAGAACAGATGGTCTCATCCCAAACTCACAAGACTCCCATTTGTTAAGTGTTCATGAAGCAGGTTTGTTTCGTGAATTCTTAGCTAGCAACAGAATCTCTTAGTCTAGGACACGTCCTCAGGCATAACAAGGCAGGGCTGACACTGATCTGGCTCCAATAATAGCTGGGAAATGGTTTTCCCAGAAGAAACACCATCAACAGGCAATTGGGAGAGCCCTTTTACATGCACAGAAACAAGAGGCTTCATGCTGGGAAACACAGCATTCAGGAGTTAGCTGGAACCATGATAGCACATTTCTTAAACTGGAAAAAGTAGTTTGACTGTCAATTGGATATTAAGAGAATGACAAAAACAGTCTTAACTCTTTACCATCTGCCAGGTGTCTGACTTACAATTAGGTGCCATTCTGAAAGATAAGTTTGCATCAAGTATAAATCACTTTGTTCTCCAAACTGATTGCTCCATGAGCTCCATGATTGCTTCTGACTCTAAAATTAATAACTCTAGGAAACATAGTTCATGATACCTGTAATTTTTAATGTTTTTACTGCAACATTCCTCAGCATCAATTCTGTAATATAGAACAAATCACAGAGTACTTCAGGCTGTAAGACAGCTTCAGAAATCTCTGGTCCAACCTCCTCCTTCTCAACACACAGTCAACACTGAATTCCCCAGACTGGACTAGGGACCCTCTGAAGCTTCTTCCAAACTGAATGTGCCCAGAACCCTATGATTAAATAGCACTGGTTTAGGAAGTAATATGTGGAAAATGAAAGACAATTTTAATGGTGACTCTCTACTAACACTTAACCAATTACATTTTATTCCCTCTTAAAAGTGCTATTTTAATTTGGCTATTGCTAATTTTATACTTAGCATGTTGGAAATAAAATACCCCCAACAAGTTATTTGGAAGAGTATGCTACTTTTTTACCTTTGACAGCCAACCTGACAATGAAATTAAAACTTATGAAAAGAAAATAATTAAAATAATAAAAGCTATAAAAGTAACATATAAAAGTAATCATAGTAAGAAACAGTTAATTGAAAATAATGTTTTCCATAACATTTTGCTGCCTCTTGTACTGTATGTGTCTCCATAGGTGTTGTAAGAGTTTTGAAACTTGGACACTGTTATTAATTTTCAGGTGGAAGTCTGTCAATGTTATGTTTCCTAGATATAATAAGTTGAGATATTTAACTGTACCTGCTAATACGGTGACTACTGCAGAGAAGGCGTTGATCTTTAGCCCATCAATGACAGTGCTGTAGTAGCACATTTCTACTGACATAAGAATGACTCCAGTCAGAAGCAAAATGATGTACAGAAGCTCTGTGACAATAGACAGCCATAAAACTCCTGCAAAACCCAATAAATACAATGATATTCTAAGCAGTCATTTAATATTTTCACCATTTCTTTCTTCTTCATTTATATTGTTTACACAATGTTAAACAAAAGCTCAAATCCTGTAAGGACGCTATTATAACTTTTCTAGGAAAACCTGGAGGTCAGTGAGCACCCTAAATTGTAATTCCCTCTACTGATTTGGCCATTTAGTGGAAGAGTACTTGCACACTTCCTTTATACTCTTAAGAAGCTTAAAGTGCAAAGTGGAGCAGCATGGTTTTACACTCAGTAGCTACCCTAACATTACCATGAATCAAAGTTAATATAAAAAGGATTACTATCCAATTACCTACTTGTTGACACAGTTGCTGAGTCCAGACTGAAGTGTACCAAACCAGAAGACCATGTTACCCAGCTAACAGACTGCACGGCCGTGCACACAGTCTTATGACCTGAGGGTCTAATCATTAACTAAAATCATCCCCATAGAATTAATTTTCCACCAAAGAGGATCTTCATTTTTTTGCACAGAGAAGCCTTCCTGAATGCAGACACTCCTCAGGTTTCACTGAGGTTCATTTCTCTGCTTACCTGCTAACCAGTTTCTTTCTGGATTTCTGTTAATGATGCCTTACACAAGAAGTTAATCTGCTCATTAAGGTTTCTCAGCCTGCTGTTTTACTGTTAGCATGCTAATGTCTCACAGTCAGGAGCAGGAGGTCTTGTGTCCAGATCATAGCAAGAACTGGCCTACAACTTTCCCAAACCTTTCTTAGTCAAGTAAGTGTGACAAGCTGCAACAGTGGTAGGGAGGATGAGACTTCAGATCCTGAGCCTTCTTCCCCAAGGGGCTGACATTTCATATTGCTTGCCCTTGTTGACACACTGCCTGTCCCTGTGCAGGCTGCATGGTGTAAGCCACAGATTTAATGACTGAATACGGAAGTATGAAGAAAGAGGGGCCAAGAACTTATAAATCTTGGCTTCCAGTATTGATATATAAAGTGATTTAAAAAAACATTCCTATTCAAATGGAGCAGTTTCAAAAGACATAGATTAATATTTCAAGTCATGTGGACTTAATTCTGAAGTTGACAAAGTAAATAAAGGACAAAAAACTGTGTGCGATTAAAGCAAGCATTCTTGATATCAAAATACAGAATATTGGTTAATGTGATCAATAAAGTTTTATTTACACAAATTATTCATATCTACCTCGATCAGAAGCTGGAGTCAGGCTGATGAAGCTTCTACATTTCTCACCTAAAAAAAATATTTTAAAATAACATTCAGGATGATTTTGTATTCTGTAATAACGTAAAGAAACAGATTCATAGGAAGCAGAAAATGCTAAACCTGCCATAAAAGCACAAATTGAGAAGATCAGGAGAAACTTAGCTAGATTATCCTTCCAGAACTTTTTTCAAGGCAGGAAGAGAATCTGGGAGACAGAAAAAGACCATGAATTGATTTCCAAAAGGTTGTAGCTGTGAAAGCCAGAATGGGAAAACCAGCAACTCATTTGAAGTCCCCTCCTTACAGCGACAAAGCCGCTGCTCACACAAATTTCTTCTAAGCTTGATTACAATTTATTCCTGTAAGCTTTGATTTCCAGACCCGTGTGACCTCCTGATCCCCCCACAGATGCTGTGAACAAAGCTCTTGGAATTAATTCTGCTCTGCTCTGAAAATATGGGGTGGTTTTTTTTTCAGCCACTAAGTTGGAAAATAAGAACTGCAATAGCTCATGCACAAATGAAACAATCACAGTGATCACCACCTGAAAGATGTCTTCTGGACATGTATTTTGCTCTGATCTTCGTCATTTACCTCCTTAAAATTGCACAGCTTACAAGACTTTGTGGTAGAACTGGACTTTAAGGACAGGTGTTGTGAAAATATGTGCATTTTATATCACATGTGAAAGCTGCTTTGATTTCTCTGAATGATCTAGTTGTCATTTGTAAACTTGTCAGAACATAAGGGGGAAAACTTAGTGCTGATTTACAATAAATGTTCTATTTGTTGAAGGAGCTAAATAATTCTTTCAGACAAAGATCGAGAAATAACCAGAAGCTTTCTTTAATGGCAAGCTCATTTCATTCTACTGACATTTACATACACAAAGTGTTGCCACCACTCATGATTAGTAAGTCTCTCGATTATGCTTTAGCAGGGTGAAAATAATCCTGTTTTATTTCATGAAAGGCAGGAAACAACTGTGCTGAATTAATGAAATAGCTTAGATCTCACAGATTTAATTGCTCAAATGACTCTAAAAATAAACAAATCACATTGTGCTTTCTAGCGTTGCCATAGGGACTCATCAGCAATTGTTTGAGGCAAATACATTTATTTTTGCCTAAGGGGCTAAAAACATCAGGAAAATAAAACACTGTCCTGATAAAGTAACTTAATAGTAATTAATAATAATAATAATAAACCTGTCACCTTAAAGTTTTTTTGCAGGATTTATTGGGAATTTTTAGGAATTGACTAGATAGCATCCTTTAAGATCTCCGTTCCTAGAGAAAAAAACTCAAAGGATACTTTTTCCTTTAAAACACATACATGGCATTGCAGCAGAGGAAGGTGACACCAAATAAGTAGGAAGAACCTAGATGACTTTCCAGAGTAAATTTACAGGGGTTCACTCACCTTCTTCATTTATAATTTCTTCACAGGAATACCAAATTCCAGCATGAAACTTCTGATCAACGAACTTGTCATCTCCTGTCTCCCAAATATATTGCACAGCGTTGCTGTTGTTGGCATCAGGGCTATTAAAGCGGATGCAGTGATCCCCTCTGCTCTGCCCTGTACAAAAAGGTTTGGCAACTTTTCTTGTCCCTTCACACCAGTAGCTACTACTGAATGCGGTGATAGAGAAGACTAAAGAGAGAAAACTGAGAGAAAATGCTGCTGAGGCTCTCTGCCGTCTGTCTGCAGCTGGGACCGAAACTGGCATCCCCCAGGACTGTGCTATCGATTACTCTAGGCAGAACCTTTTACAAAGCTGTGTATGTATCTGCCTGCTGAAGTACTGCCTGCATTCACCATCCCATTCTTCATTCCTCTCAGAAAACTGTGCCAGCTTAGCTGTTAAGACAGAAAGCAGAGAATAAGGGCATGGCCAGAAATCATGTGGCAGGAGAGATTAAGGATGTAAGACAGTGCTGTTTGGCAGTAATGTCTTGTGAAAGACATATGAGGAGGTGGGACAATAAATTACAGTTTGCCCAATGAATCACAGGAGAACAGATACACAGAACACAGCAACATTGGGTGTACCCAAGTATGAGATCAGAAAAGTTTTATTTATACAAACAAAATATGCACATTTACCTCAATCAGCAAGTGAAGTCACGCTGAAGGAAATTCTCCATTTCTCAGCTAAGACATAAAATCCTGGGGATCCAAATGCTCCTGTTACACTGAATGCTGATTTGATTGAATACATGTGAATCTTACATGTATTAAGGTGATAAAACAGTTGCTAAGTTAGAGCATTTGACAGCATTAGTCAAAGTGATGAGTCAAGTGATGATGACTGCATCTGTTCAAAGTTCCACCAGTGACAAATGAAAGCCACAAACTACATGATTTTCCTATTTATGGGCTTCTAGGCACTGTCCAGTCTGCCTCCATGAACATGTAATAGACCTTTCAACCAACTTAAGTGAAGCAGTAAAGCTGAATTATCTTATTTTGTCTGCCCACCTGTTCTCTCTGAAATAGCTTTTATTTTTCCCTTCATCTAAGAAATATTTATCACCTAGACATGTTTTGTATGTTGTTTTTCCTGCCTGTTTGACAATGCAAGTAGATGATACAAAGAACCAGAAAGACCAGGAGCGTTAGTAACTGTAAGGTCAAAACTCATGCCTAAAGGAGAGTGATACCTTGGGACAGACACTGAAGTCACATATGTGACACGAAAATCATTCTGATTTTTAAGACCACTCTCTACCATAAGATGTCAGGGTTGGAGAAGCTGGTGGCTAGACAAGTCCCAGCATGGAACTCAAAGAAACAGGATAAATGCCTGTTTTAGACTTACGAAGATCTCAGCTTGAAGAGCTGGCCAGCAACAGAGTGAAACCAAAGCAGGTATCTGGGCTAAAAAGTCACAGCAAATCTCACAGCCCAAGAAGCAGACTGTAGATTGAGCCAGCAGTTATTTTTGGCTACAACTTTGTGTAATTGTATTTTCACGAGGATGTAGCACTTGGGAACTCCACTTGAAGCCTCTGTGAATTGGACAGCATTGCAAAGTGCCCAGTACATCTGAGAACAGGGTGGGTGGGAAGGAAGGAGGGAGGGAGTGAAGTCCTTCTAAGGATTAAGCACTTATCTATATTTCTGTTCCCAGGAGTAATCACATAGGGCTATATTCATAGCAATACACAGATGAGGAGTTACTACTGGGGCTTTGAAGTACCTCTCCGTGATCCGCAGAGTAGCCCTTTGGTGAGTCAGGGTGGCATATGTATGTTGACACATCTAGCCAGGAGGCACAGCAGTACAGTGGCCAGTGGCAGGCCACGAGACTGGGCTCCCAGGCTTTTAGACTGGGCTGAATGCATTTCCACCCTGAAATCCTGGTTCCCATGGCACTTCCATATCCATGTCCAAGTACTCCTTTTTTTTACGCACAGATTTTATGTAAAGATGAGACATGGGCATGTATTATGCCTTTCCACCTCCTGGATTCCTCCAGAAGAAGAAAGTTTGGGCATGTGTGTAGAGACTCAGGTCACACTGCTGGTGGAGTGTGCTGCAAGGTGTATCTATATGCCACACTATTTAGGTATATCTGCCATATTGTTTAGCCTATTTTTGGTATTCAAAACTGAACTGCTGACGACCTCCACAAGTCCTAGTGTTGTATCTCTGCCTGATCTCCATCTTAGCTGCTCTGGATGCCCCTGAGTTCTGAGAAGGGCATGCAGAGCTGCAAGTTTCAGTTCTTTTGGAAATGGAGGAGGCAACAGCTCGGCTTTCCAGATTGCCAATTGAAAGTAGGACAATCATCAGCTTGATTCTAAAACTATTATATTATAAATGGTTTGATTCCCTGAGCCTACACAGTACATAGAGTTATTAACATTTTCAAGCTTTTCTCTGCAAGTAGAAAAGTTGCAAACAATTTTTGCAAAATTAATTCATCGGCAGTTTCTCCAACTCCACAGCTGAAAATGTAAAAAAAAAAATAAATAGAGGAATGTCATAGGAATTGTAGTAAAACAAAATAACCACTGGTAACATCATTTTTTTGTACATTTAGATCCTCCCTGATCCTGCACTTATAGTGCATATTTTACAAAACGTGCTCAGAAAGGATAAACCCAGCTATTGCTGAGCTGATTCCTGCAAAGCAAGCTTCCTACATGAAGTTTTTCTGTGTTCTAAGGCATCTTTCAATGGTTTCATGAGGTGTGTATAAATATATATGTGTATTTATGGAGCTCGATTGCATTCTTGCAAAACCCCTGGCAAAATTCCCATGGAGTTTTAGGGGAACAAGATGAGCCCTTTAATGTTTTAATAGCTTTCTGACTTCTGATTGGCTAAAGAACAAGCTACAGTAAGCAGACTTTCTGTGAGGTTTAGAGTAAATTTTCTCTGCCTTTAATCAGAAAAAGCAAAACGCAGTTGGAGCCGAGCAAGCCTCAGGCACTGTAGTAACTTCCTCTCTTATTTGTGAGAAGATTCATGAAACAGTTACACTCATAAAAGAAGATATTTCAGCTTCTTTTTTTTTCCATGGGACAGGGTGATATAATTGATCTATAGTAGACTGAAATAGCAGCATATTGGAGACAAATTTATTAGAATGGGTATCGTGACACTTTTTGGTCTCTGTTCCAGCATGGGACTCTGGTCCAGAATATCTCCTGCACCTGCCAGTTCTGTCATGATATTGTTTCTAGTGAAACAGGTAAGCTAATTCACTGATTAATAATGGACTGTATGAAAATGGATTGCTATCACATAACATTTTAACCTTCACCAACAACATGTTCATTTCAAAAGTAGTTCTGGCAGCAGTTTATATGTATTAAAAATTAATCATGAGAAGTGTTGGTTGAGAAGCGGTAGAGTTTTGTATTAGAATTCACTTGAGGTCATTTGTTACAATTTTCTTCTATTAATACTCATTCATACAGGGAAGAAATTGTGTTTACATCTATTTATACAATCTCTTTTCTTAGCACTATTGATCAGTACTGAATTATACTTATTTTTCTATTTTCCTACAAGATATTAGTACTCTTGTGAATCACATTTATTTTCTACTGTTTTTTGTCTGTTCTGAAAACAACTTTGCTTTGTTTCTGTCATTATCTTTTAGCCTTTGACTTGTACAAAGGGAGAACACTGAATCTCATACTCGTGAAATCTGGTGTTATTGGTTTCATTCTGCACCTCAGCTTCTTACAGAAGGCTAGGAAATCTCTATGCAGTTTCTATTTTAATTTTTGTAGAGATCTATTAAACTAGTCATTTCTCTGTTTTCGAAATCTGTTAAAAAAATCTGAAAGCTTACTTCTTTGTCTATAATGTTTTATGATTTGGAAGAGTTTTAGGTGTTTAATGACAAAATACCTTTATGTAATTCACTTCAAGGGAATTTTCATGTATGTTTTTAATTATTATTTAATGGTATCAGCCCTGGTATTTGATAAATTTAAGAACTAATTACCAATGTGTATTACATTTCAATTCATCTGAATAAAATTCCTGCATAGATTTAGGGTACAGCAATAAGGTATTTCTACTCACTCGTCCTTCCTTTAGCTGGATTACTAAGGAAATTGCTTTGCATGTGTACATGCTGTAGAGACTGTAATTGTGTTCCTAGTTTTTTTTATGAAGAAAAATTTAGCAGGAGACACATCTTCTGAGTGTTTTAACAAAGTATTCCTAATGTGTTTGTATAATTGAAATCTGGAGCTTCTCTCGCATTAATGAATATAGAACTGAAGCAGCTCTCTGGTTTGCGAGACACCTTAAATTGGTTGGACATCTCTACCAAAGCACTGGCTCCATCAGTGCTAGCAGAAAATCTGCCAATTACTTCTGTGAAGTCAAAACTTCACAAGACTGTAAGTCACAGTCAGTTACTTTGCCTTAGGGATTACTGTAACTTGTTTGTTTTGCTGCTTTCTATTGTATTTAATGAGACAGAAAAATTTAAAGAAACACCTTAAATCACCATATCTAGATTTTCCAACAAAAATCTATAGAGATGTGAAAAGTATCAATCAGAATAAACCAGGATCGTGGCTGAAATAATATGTAAATAATTAAGTTCTTAATTCTAGATTGTACCTAAATAGATTCTTTTTTTCCTGTCCATAATAGCATAGTCTGAATAAACAAAAACAATTTCCCTATTAACTTAGTATAAGAAATTTAAAGGGTAAAATCCTGATTATGTAATGAAAAAATAAGTCAGTAATGAAAAAAATAAATTTAAACCAGTCTGTTTGCAACCTTGGAGGTCTATTATTATAATCCATTTCCTACTTGTGAGCTTCAGGCTGTGTTTTCTGCTGCATCTAACATAAACAGTGGTGTCATCTTGGTGTAATCTGAGGGCTCTGAGCAGACCAAACGAACTGAAAGACCCTTCCAGAGAAGCTGGATTACATTTCAAGATGGGTGAACTCTTGTGTGAGCAGGGTACCGGGCAGCTCATCTGCTATCACTGAAACTTCACATAGCTTGAAGTGAAGATATGCCCAAGTCAGAGCAAAAGGTCACAGGCTTTCTGAGCTTCCGCCTTGGACACTGGAGTTTAATTTCTTCTGAATCAGGAGTCCTGTTCAAATGCTAGTGGATGAATGTCAACTGAAACATAAAACTGAGATCAAAAGCCATGCTGAGCTGCATGTTGCTGCTGCTTAAGATCATGGTAAATCCATCTGAAGGCTTGTATTTCTACTGCTAAGCATGCGTTGTATCTGAATTTTTATAGCACTGAGTAGCTCAAAACTTAGATCATAAAAAACCCCCACTGGGATCTGTAATCACAGACTCTGAGATG